ATCATGATGATGATGTGTTTAGTATCATGATGATGATGTGTTTAGTATCATGATGATGATGTGTTTAGTATCATGATGATGATGTGTTTAGTATCGTGAAGATGATGTGGACCGTACGGGAAAATATTTGGCTCCAGGTTATGCTGCACAAATGACCGAGAGCCAAATATTTTCCCGTATGGCCCGACATAACTCAGTCAACAAAATACTAGACGCATAACTGCATGAACTCGGGATTTCTTAGGTTGCGTTTAAATTAGCAATTTTTGTGGCGATTTTTAGACTGGACGCACTAAACCCGTGACTAATAATTAGTACTAATTAGTAGTAATTCATACAGAATCCTTTGTTTCCTATTGTTTATCACTATTTAGTACTAAAAATTAGTATTTGTTTCACGGGTTTAGTACAAGCACTCTAAAAATTTAATTAATTTCCTCCTTCTAATAGCCTTCACAAGAAAAGCAATACCATTTATATTTTTAGTATATTGAATTGGAGGCATTTGACTTTCATCATAAACCAAGAGGGAATATACATACTTTGATCTTTTGGTGGGTTTTAAAATACAACTAATACAAAAAGATGAAAACCACATCAAAAACCCTGTGCATTCAATATGATTTTTTATAATATTTTGGAGAATGGACTTGCTTTGCACTGACTCAGACAGTACTCCTTCACTAATATCACTTTTTTAAAGGTGTAAACTTAGTTCAGCTCCACAAACATCAACAGTCTTGGGTAAATTATTTGGTGAATGCCTATTTAAAGATAGATAATCAAATAATCTTCTGCCATTGTAGACAATGTGTTTGAGCTCCAATAACTGCATGATTTCATTATAGAATAGCTAAGTGAATAAATAGCCACAAGCACAACTTAAATTAAACTTTGTGGTTCTGCTTACATAGTTCTGAACTATGTTATTTTCAGCTTCATTGATTTGTACTCCTTTCACTTCAAACATATTATTGTTATGTATACTCTGAAAATAATGCACTAAGTCACTAAGAGACAATACTTCAAGCAGCACACATGTACCTTGGGCATGACTTCTACCATATGAATCCCTAGCATGAGAATCAAATATTTTGAACCTCTCATTTATACCATTACAATTAATAGATAGCAACAGCAGTACACCCTACTGTTAATACAAAATTGATGTAGTTTTCAGCTATAAGTGATTCAAAGGCTCTTTGCAAAGAACAACAGTACTGATATCCTTGTATGGCAGCCTCTTGATGTATAGCACCTGTGTAGCTTTCACTGTATTGAAGTTCATAGTCAGTCTCAAACACATTTAGAATTGGTGGTAGTTGAGGTTCTGACTGCATTAAAAAGGACTATCTGGCTAATTGAGATAAGCCTGAATACAACTGATTTCCAATATTCATAATTAACATGAGGTCGTTGGCACAATTAATTCCTTACTTGTTATTGTAAATCAAAGAGCACAAACTCATTGAAACACATTGTTGTCCTGAATTCTGTCCAAATACTAGTTCATTACCTTTGCTATATATGGTGCTGTTATTGTTTTGCTAGGGTCAATGCACATTGGAGCAGGACCAGCGGGGTTCTTCTCTACATCAGTGCTCAGTTTAAATTTATAATAATTCGATATATGGGTGTGATTTTTGTACTGTCACATCAATTTATTACAGGTAAACAATGATAAATACCGATTTGCTCGACATTTAAGCTTCATTATCCCTCGATAAACCCTGCTAGAGCAATTAAAGTAAAGTTTCTTTTCATGTTGTGTGATTTTATTCAACTTATTTAATTTTGCCACCACATATTTTGAACCCCAAAGTACCCTTGAAATATATAGCAACAGCAGTACACCCTACTGTTGATACTAAATTGGTGTAGATTTCAGACAGTGATTTGTAAAGAAGTACAGTACTGATATGCCTTATATTGTAGCCTCTTGAAGTACAGCTAGGGCCGGGTTGTTCAAAGCTGGATTAGCGCTAATCCAGGATTGACTCCATAGCTCTTATTAAGAGTTAATCCATGCAGGATTAGCACTAATCGGGCTTTGAACAACTGGGCCCAGTACCGGCGTAGCTTTATTGAAGTTGATACTCTACATATAAACAAAAGTTTCTATGTGTAGTGTATAAATACATATACCTACGTACATATTAATGACAGGAATGTACTGAGAGGGATAAGTACATATACGTATACATTCCGGGGGGGGGGGGGTACTCCCCTATATTAGCTATACGGGTATGTGCCGCCCTATAGGGTATGGTTTTTCGGCTTTTGGGTCTGGGTTAGGGTATCATTTTTTGACATTTTGTCTGGGATAGGGTATCATTTTAATCTGGGATAGAGTTAACGATTTGGTCATTTTTATCTGGCGAATAGGCTACGCTTTCTGCCGGCACAAAATCAATGAAAACGTTAGTAAATATTGATTGCAATCTATTGAAAAACCGTCTTTTAGTCTGGGATTAGTCTCCCCCACAGCCGCTTTCAGTGTCGTCATGCAACGCTTTCTCCCCTAACCCTAACTCAGGGGAGAAAGCGTTGCGTGACGACACTGAAAGCGGCTGTGGGGGAGACTAGGACTAGTGTGGATGGTAGGCTTAACCGAGTAAATAAAAATTCGGATTCAAATTTATCCGGCATAGTGTGGACGGGGCTTGAGAAAGAGCCCAGCGCAAGTCCTTCGCCATGTACCCCCCATTGCTGCCTAACCATTTGCAATCTCATAGCGGATTCTACACATGCGCATAGACTTTAATTTCGCGCATGCTTCGAGGGAGATTTCTGACTAAAGCCCGAGTAATTACTCCTACTAAAAATAGATAGTAATGGTTTTGGTTCGTAACCATGGTAACAATCATAACTTAAGCATAGTAAGCGTTCAGTGCACATATCGTTTATAGTTTTCCATTTCGTAGTAGTAAGAACTTGCTCACTTGGGGTACACCAATCCAGACACAGATCCAGGATTTTTATAACATGCACTTTGAGCACCCGACTTTTTCATTGTCAAAAAAAGATATATAAAAGAAAGAAAAATGAAAAGCAATTAAAGATATAATGGCCATTGTACTTCATTTTGCAATTTTTCAAAGGCCAACTTTCTAACCGTTTGAGTAAAAAGTACAATACAGTTAATCTGAGAAAAAATGTTTGTCAATCAGAATCGAGAACCTTGCAAAACTGAGGTGTCTTATCTTCTGGATATTATGGATCCCAGTAGGCGGCCAAAGAATTTATAAAAAACGTTGCTAATAAGCGAGCGAAATGTGTTCGGCACCCCTGTTTTAATAAAACTCGCAATGCTGTTGGTGTTGTCATGAAAAAAAAATAATGATAATAAATCACGATGGCTCTGATAGGGGGGGTTGTAACCCCCAAAACCCACCCCTAGATCCGCCACTGCCAATCCGCCTTGTAGATTATCTTTGCAGCTCGTACCGTTTACCTTTTCAAAATTGTCCATCAGGGTCTTACCTTTATCATTTACTATGATGGAAACAAATTTGATTTTAGGTTTAGAGGGAGTTTTTTTTAAGTTTGTGACACTCCCCCAGTACACTCAACTTGAATCCTAGTTCTACCCAAATGGTCAACTCTTGTCTGTTTTCTCCTCAAAATTTATCCTTTTATGCTTATTGTTTCATTATTAGAAACACTGACGCAGCTCACAATAGTTCATAGCTAGTTATCTCTTCTTTTCGTTCATACTTTCCATTTTTTCTTACCCTTTTAATTTCTATTCGGAAGGAGTTCCAGGTAGGGTAAAAGTGACGAAAAGTTTTGGGAGCCCTGTGTTTGCGCCCGCGAAAGTACAGCGGCTTACCTGCGTGTAGTGACTTATTTTTAAAGGTTCTTGCGCATACGAAGGTTAGCTAACGTACCCGGCAGATATCAGAGAAGATGGTATGTATGTTAGAAAATCTGTCTCCATCCTAGTTGTTTCGAACTTGATTTATGTATACGCTAATATATTCCGTTGTTATTTCAAATTTATATCTTAACACTTGGCCTTCTATAGTGTAAACGTCATGTTAAAGAAATCCATGACCAGTTTCTTGTCATTTCATAGCAACCCGGAATAATTCTGCTAAAAGAGGGTACCGACTCCTCACAAGGGATACCTCAGCTCATAAGCAATATAAATGCCTGTCAGTTCATTGCAAATGCAGTCCGTACGACACTCGGCCCTCGAGGAATGGACAAACTTATGGTCGACAACAGAGGTGTGTACAAAACATGGGTGTGCTGTACGAATTTGACAACTTAGTCCACGTGTCTATAAATTTATCCTTAAAGATACCTTGTCTATCCTTTTCCTAGGGAAATCTACGATTTCAAATGATGGAGCTACCATAATCAATCTTTTAGATATAGTTCATCCTGCTGCTAAGACGCTTGTCGACATCGCTAAATCGCAAGATGCAGAAGTGAGTAAACTTGGTCACTATAATATAACTTTGTATAGATAAATTATGGTATTTACAAGTAAATGAATTGGAGATTTTGTCAGAAATCATACGAATGATGACAACCTTTTTTACAACATTATTTACATCTATCTTGAAATCTTTTTTTGATAAAGAAAAACTAGAGAATACTCCAGTTTCGAGTTCTCTTTGATCAGCATTAGCCTCAGTCATATGTTAGAATATTCAACCAAATCCTGTGGCATTTTAATCAACACATATTGTTACGTAGTAGATACAGTCAATTCAAAAAATGTTGTCGTCGACCAACCCAAGCCTACGCGCCTGGACTGAAAGGATCTCTGGGTGAAGCTGAGTTGACTCCAAAACTTTATCTGACTATTCATGCCTTGTTTGTTTACAGCACGAATCTTCGTAGGCGAGCGGGAAGTGTTGAAGGAGACATTTTTTTAATGCCTTCATATTATTTTTCCGACCTGTGAACTGAATCATAACTACTTTGTTTTTCTTTCCCTAAACCCAAAGACATGCATTTTATGGATTGTTTGTCACCATTATTATCTTATTACTAGCGGGAACAATTAATTCAGGACAAATATTTAACCGCTTCAATGATTTTTACCCATATTCCTTTCGGTCCAATCACGTCGGCTTGAGCCGGTCAACAACAACGTTTTTAGAATTCACTGTATGTTACTTACTATACAGTGGACCTTAATAAAAGAAAAGAACACATTTCACACAAACGATGCTAAGACTGAGGCGAACTCAAAATGGGAGTAATTATGTCACCTGTGTATCACATGAGTTTATTAATGCAATCGAAGGACGAATAATTGATTCCAACATGCTATCAGGAATATGTACTTATTGACTGAGTGGGAGGGCCGTACAGGAAAATATTTGGCTCGAAGTGATGCCGTACGGACCGAGCTCAGCGAGGGCCGTACAAATGACCAAGAGCCAAATATTTTCCCGTACGGCCTGACCTAACTCAGTCAATAAGCATTTTATCATATGACCCTCACGAAAAAATCAATAAAAAAATAAAAGAAAGAAAAAATAGTAAATAAAAGCTAAAAAAGAGAAAGCGCGCGGATTCAAGCAGGGCCGGACGGGTTTTTCCGGCCCGCTTACGTCAACCCGTCCGGCCCCCATCACGTGACTTTTTCCAATGCTTTTATTAGAGCGCGCGAGCAGGGCCGTACGGGTCATATGATAAAACAAGTTTCCTAATTGAAAAATCCCCAATTTTAAGACTAAATCTGTTGTCCCAAAACTAAAATTATTGGACCACAAATCATCACAGTAAGGAGGATTAAAGAATATGTGAATTTACGCACTGCCTAAAAGCAGAGCTCTTTGTGTTGTTTTAGCTTGCACAAAATTCAGAAATAGTGTTACAGCTATAACTGTTGTATTGCGACCTACCGATTCATAACTTCAGTTGGAATTTGGTCTTTTCTGAACCCTCAGTCATCAATCGTGGGTTTGTGGAAATATTTAAGTCTTTGAACATGCCATCACATGTCAGCCATCAGGCATATTTTTTGAAAATCTAAATTTACTCAAGTATATTCCACGTACTTGCGATTGAGAGTCGTTTTCAAGTTTATAATGAAGTGACGGCTGATCAAGCAATTGAATACTAGTACAGATGAAGACACGAAGAATTATTTTCATCTAAGTGTTTGTTTTATGTCAAAGGTTGGTGATGGTACAACTTCAGTTGTTCTTCTGACTTGTGAGTTTTTAAAGCAAGTTAAACCATTCATAGAGGAAGGTGTCCATCCTCAGATTGTAGTGAAAAGTTACAGAAAGGCTGCTAACCTGGTAAGCTCGATTGATTACTTACAGACAGTATTTCCACCATTTCCTTAGGTGTAAGTTACAACCGGCCTCACTTTTACTACTTATTTAATGCTTGACTAATCATAAAAGGTTGAAATCAAAAACTCATAAATAAAGTCTTATCTATTTACATGTATCTATTTTTCTACTCTTGATGTATGAGCCTCAGTATGTTTTCACTCCAAGCTGCTTTCAAGACGAATAAACAAAAAAAAAAACAACAAACAAACGAAAACAAATAAGGAAATTTTACCAATAAATAGGCTTCCAAAGCTGTATTGAGCCTCTGATGCATAAAGGGTCGAGCCGTATTAAAAGACTTGCTAAGAAAAACTTTCCAAGATTGTAAAGCTGAACAGAGAAGATTCTTTTCAACTTTTAAGGTGGCTCCAAACCATTTTTGTTGTTGTCATCAACTTCATTGATTAACAGCATCCTTAAGAATTCTTAAGACTTACGAATTCCCTACGGGAATACAGTTCAATCCAACCAAGGTACTTTAATTATTCAGCATATTATTCGATGGTGTTTCCTATGATCCATCTAGAGGCATTTCTTTGAATGTTTTCCACCTTGTTCGATAGATATTTTTGGTGCAGGTTCCAAACAGGACAAGCATAATCAATATTAGATGAACCATGGTGATATATCCAGATAATATGGCCTCAGAACATTTACTAAATTTACTCTTCAATAATCCAAGTATCTTGTTGCCCTTTGCAGCTATTGTCAGAACATGTGATTTCAAAGACAAAATCAAATGACAAAATGACCCCAAGATGCTTGTGGGTGTAGACTTGAGTGTAGAATTAAAGTGCAACCAACCTTTTCTTCAATAATGCTTTCAGTACTGGTTCTACATAAACAGGTATCCCAGACCTCCTATATATCCTATATTTCCTATAATTTGTATAGGATCCTATATTTAAAGAAAACCTCCTGTATTTCCTATAAATAGGACGACTGCTGATTGATACATTTATATTTTACACTGTTTAGCATATTTGGCGAAGGAAATAAAATGGCCCCTTTTTTTTGGGTTGTTTTTTTTTTAATGGCTTTTTAGTTCTGCAAATCATTTGTTAGCTCCTATAAAGTGCATATATTTTTGGAAAAAAATCCTATATTTTCCTATATTTAGAACTTGCACAGCCTATATTTCCTATCAAATTTGTCTAAAATGTGGCTGGGATGCCTGCATAAAGTAAATGGCTGATTGTTAATATATATCTTGATTTGAGTGATGCTTTTTAACAAGTTATTGTGAGGGGTCTGAATATGCAAATGTTCACTCGCTCACTAAGATGTTAGCAGATCGATTACGAATGTTACAACGACACTAACAAGCACAAAGCTCTTATACAATAGAGATTACTTTGTTATTTATATGAGGAAACGAAATGCTGATGTTCCATGTGGGATATATTTCTATCACTTGTGGACGCCGTGGGGGCCCAGTGTGCATGCGCACACTCGCACATAGTTTTATCTTCGAATTATTAGCGGAGCTCCCATGCGAGTGGAGCCCCATACTTAAGAAAAAATGGTAAACCATCGAGTTGATTTTTCATGGCTTGGCTGACGTCACTTCTGTCCGTCCGTCCATCCCTGTACACAACACAGGAAACCCGCTTGATGTCAAAGCAAAACTACTCACGAATGCGGCTCTCAAATGCACAGAAAAAAATGGCTTTAGGACAAGTCATAGACCAAAAACAATTTAAAAAAAACTTTCATGTAGTCAAAGATGATCAAGAAGTGTTCTTCAAGAATTCAGGTGTGTGTTTTTTAGCAAACAATCGTGTATATATATAT